GAGTCAAATTTAAAATTTATATAACTCAAATCAAGTTGAGTTGAAAGATTTTATAAAATAAATTTGACTCGACTCAATTTGAAAAAAATGAGTCAAATAGAGTTGATCCTTAAACTCAACTTGACTCGACTCATTTGGAACTCTAATTATATATATATTTTTTTAAAAAAATAATAAATATAAAAAATAATTTTTCTTTAAAAATTGAATTTTCTAATTAATTAGTATAAATAATGTCTTGTAAGGTAATTTTAACAGTAAAATCTCAAGTGTTATAAAATTGTATTCAAGTATTACAAAAATTAATCCTGTATAAATAATTTTATAAAATAATAATTTAATAGTAAAATTTTAAATAATAAATTTTAGTATTATTTTATTAAATAATTTGACTTAATATTTAAAAATATATATAAGTTATATTAGTTAAAAATGTTTACTATGATATAGCATTTTTTAATCATCATTTACTTAAAATTAATTTCTTATCCTATAAGGTTATTTTAATAGCTTAACTCTTATATATAGATAAAATAGTAAAAAAATGTGTGACTATTTTTCTAATACAACTGGTATAGAAAAATTTAAACTAATATTATTCACAAATATAAAATTCTTTTCTTTTAAAAATTTATTTAAAAAATATTTACCAATAGAATGTTATTTAGAATTTAACAGCTTAAATATAAATTTTTATCTAGAATAATTAGATTTATCAAATTGATATAATAATAAGACTAAAAAAAAAATATTTTTCTACTTATTGATAATAAATCTATTCATATTTATATGAAAATGTAAAATTTACTAATATAAATATTAATTTTTTACTTCTAATATAATTATGCATCTTTAATTATATAATAAAAGTATTATAAATAGCTTTAAAGTAATAAAATTTAAACTAATTTTGATAATTCAAAATTTTTATTTTAATTTATAATATTTACATAATATTAAAAATTACTAATTATAATTTATATCAAGGTCTTTGACTATCAACAAAAACTGATTATAATAAATTACTAATTAATATTAAAAAAACTATCAAATATTTAGCTTCAATCTGAAATAAAGTTCTTTCTTAAATTATATTTAACTGCTAGAATGAGACAGAAATTATACTAAATAATACAAATCTTAATGATAAATAGAAGATAATAACATAAAATGATAAATATAAATGAATGTAAAGAAATTCAAGACTTAATCAATAAAGTTAAATATATATACTCTCTTACTGCTAAAAAATACATATTAGATAAAGAAAATAAAAATTTTAATATATTATTATCTAAAAACAGATCATTATTATGCTCAAAAAAAATAATACTATTCTAAGATGAAAAGAATATTATTTCAATGATTAGTTCTAAGACTTTAATTACATTTAATACAATTTTTTATTATTTAAAACAAGATGAATTAAAATAATATTGATAAAATATATTAAAAATAATAAAAAATGTTAGAAAATCAGTTTATAAAATTAATTTTTTACCAAAAAGTAAACAAATTTAAATATACTTTGCTGAAACCTAAAAATTTTGAAATATATAATAAATATATTATTAGTAGATAGCAATTATGCATTCAATATATAGTTAAAATATTATAACATAGATGATATATTTGTAAAATATTTGACATTTCAAAATTTAGGTTAAAATTCGTATTAAATATTAACTTAATAGAATAAAGAAATATTACATATATAACATAAAATAGTTAACAAATATTTTTGAAATATATTTGCAATCTTTTAAATATACTACTATAATATTTTGCAAATATTAACATTATATGTAAATTGGATATTTCTAAGTGAATTGAAATTTGCAGAAAAAAATAAGTTTTGAAAAAAAAGTAATATTTCTCAATATAATTCAACTATAACTACGGTAAATGAATAAAGTGATATATTTACAATAAAAAAATTGCTATTATACTAAATAATTAAAATATATAATAAAGTATAACAAAAATATTGAAATTCAAAAGCTTTTTTACTCATTATTGAGGTGTTTCATTCTATTATTTTTAGAAATTAATAGTTTAAGAGTTTTCGAACTAGTAATTTTCTTACTATTCTAAATTTAATAAATATTTCTAGATTAATTATAACTTCATCATATTTTTAATAATTAGTTGTGTATCTTTCTTCACTCTTATTTTAATAAGACTATTTTAATGACTATTCATACAAAGATATCAAGTTTAGTAATAATTAATGAATTTTTCCTTAAATTTAGTTAGTCAATCACCTTTAAATATATTTAAAGTGATTGCTTTCATATTTTCTCTGTAATAAATTCATCTAATTTATTATATAGTTCTTTATTTTATTTATTAAATAATAAAAATTTAAGTATAAATTTAAATTATCAGCAAAAGAATAATAATAAATAATAAAATTATTAATAAATTTCTATTACAAATCTTTCATATGTTATTATAAAATCATCTGCAAGATTTATAACAGCAATATGAAACTTATAGCAATAGTTATTATACTAACTCCTAACATCTTTAACTAAAGTTCTTAATTTTAGATCAATTTTGGTAATTTTATATATTTAGATAATAAGCTTCTCATATAAAGCTACTGTATTATTATGCATTCAAAAAAAAAGTGCTTTACATTCTTCTTGTAATTGAAATTTAATATGCTAAATTTAAAATAAAATATTAGTTAGCATAAACTTTATGACAAAAATATTATTATTACTACCTGATTAATTTTTGGAGGAGTTAGTACAGATTTAAAAGAAAATTGTTATAGCAAGATATTATAGTATTGTGATAAGATATATATCAAAGTTAGCTCATAACTTTTATTAGTTCTATTTATAATTTCATTTTGAATATTAACTGCTAAATCCAGAATACTTTTATAGTAAGCTAATCAATAAGCAATTTCAAACTTATTGAATATTTTTTAAAATGGTATTAGTTACTTTAACAGTAAATCAATTTTAATTGCAATTTTCTGAAACATTTTTTGAAATAATTCTTGTATATAATAATCATCTTGTGAAAATTGTATTCTTCTACTGTTATTTTATTAGTTAAAGTTATAACAGAAGTATTTGATGAATCTGCAGTATCATACTTCTATTGATTTTGGTCTATATTACTAGTTTCTTCTTTATTTGATAAAACATATAGTTCTATTTGATCTTGTATACTAAAAACTAAACTTATAGCTTTATTATTATTATTTAATAAAGAAATTGCTGAAGATTTCTGATAGTTTTATACAGGAATCAGATATATCATATTTTGTATTGATTTTGCTATTATTGAATTTATAGTTTCATTGTTTACTAGAGAACTTGCATCCTTTAATTGCTACTGCTTGTTATTATGCCTTTTATTATTAGTTGCTTAGTTCTTGATACTTTCATAACTTTTTCAGAAATTGGACTTGACTTCTCTAATGGTTGCAATTCATTATTTTGCTTTTTAATATTTTTTCATATAACTCTTGTTATTTTCGTAGCTTTATAAGTATTGGATTTGAATCTTCTAATGGCTCCTGTTCATTATTTTCATAGCCATTGCTTTGTAGTGTTATTTTTGCTAGAACTTTAATTGAACTTTCTGCTTCATCATTTAAAGAATTATCTGTAAATTAAATAATAATATTGAAATAAACTTTAGTGCTGAATTAAAATCAAATACTAAAAATTTAGAAATTTATATAATATACTTTCAGCTACCAATTCTTTAAGTAGTGCTAATGCTATAATTTAATAAAAATAAATTTATTAGAATATTCAATATATTTTATTTTTAATTGGTTTAAATTAATATTAGTATTTTAAAAATTATATCTACTTACTAAATTTTATTTACGAGGCATTATCAAAGATTATTTTTCATTAATAAAGAATTTGTTTTAATAATTAAAATATTTCTAATTAATTAATTCATAAATAACAAAAGAAAAATATAATAATATAAAATATATTACTATAATTTAAAAAAGAGTTTATATTATGAAAAATTAAAAAATTATATGGTATTTTAATTGCTAACTTTTGAATGCAATAATCTTTTTTTTTTATTAAAAAAAGTTATATATAATAATATCATATTGTATCTAAAATTCTATTTATTATTCCTGAAACTGATAAAGAATTTTATTTTTTTGATTTTTTTTCACATAATTGGTTTAGAATTAAAATCAATTTATTTCGTTTAAAAAAAGAAAATTATAAAAATAAAGGTTTATAAAAAATAAAGTTTATAAAAATAAAGTTTATATTAAAAGTATTTTAACAATGATATTTTAAATCTTTATTATAATAATTTCTTTATTAATAATGATGTAAATCACCTTTGATGCAGTTTAACAATTATAATAATTATATGATTTTTAATAAATTACGTGATAAAATAATAAAATAATAGTTAATTATGTAAAAAATAATTAATCTATATTATAATTATTTAGAAAAATAAACATAATATTTAAATTATTACACCATTCTGCATATTTAATCTGATCAAGATTTTTTATAAAAATAAATTAATAAAAGGAAAGATTTTATTTAATACCCAGTAGACAAATGAACTTTTTTATAGTTGTTAATAAATTTTACGTAATTTTTAAATTTATTATAAACTTTAAAATTTATCTAGCTTATTTATTTAATTTTAAGTTTATTGTACATAAAGTTTATTTAATTTAATATATATAATAAAGTTATATAAATATAAATTTTAATTTACATTCATCTTTTACAACTAAAAAACAAAAATGAAATGATCAAAAAATACCTGTGTATATTTATTAATTCCTAAGTTATATATTAAAGCAGCTAAAAAAACACAAAATAAGAATTATATATCTAGTAATATTTTGAAATATAATAATACAAAAGTGTCATTTCTTATAGAAACACTTTGAATATATAAATATAAAAAATGTTACAACTTTTAAAGAAGAAGATTTAACTATTGAGAAAGTCTCATAAAATGACAATTTTACTTTACCAGAAATATTGATGAATAAGATTAGTGTAGTATATAATATGTTTTAAAATTATAACTTTATATAAAAAAATATATTATATATAAAAATTTTAAATCAGCAGATTAAGCTTCTGTATAGATCATTATCTGAAATTTTAAAAAAAGAATAAGCAGAAGATGATAATGAATCAAGCTTTTCAGAAAGAGCTGATGAAATAATATATATGTTAAATTACAAAAAAAAAGTAATTTAAATGCTGTAGATACAACTGTTAATATAATATTTATAATTATTTAAAGAAGTTCACAAAGAATTTGCCTGAATATGACATGAACGTTAATAGTAGCTACTTAGATATTAATGATATAAAAGAATTTTTAACTGAAGATATTAATAATATGTATAGATTATTGTTTGATATTGTAGAAGAAAAACCTTTAATGAATAGTAATATATTAGAAAAATCAAAAAGTTTTGAAGGGTTTAATAATAAATACAGCCTATATTTTTCAAATTTTACATTAACAATTCTTTTTATCTGGATTACTAAATATATGATTTGTAAGTATAAAAGCTTTTTACTATGTATATTCTTTACTATATATATTCATATAAATACATTAAATTTATGTAGTGATATTTGCATATGAAGATTTCGCTAAGATACTCACAAACCTGAAATATCAAAAAGAAGATGTTATTATAAATATTTATCAGATTTGAAAATGGAGTGATAGGTTACCTTTAGTCAAAATATATAAACATAATATACCTCTTTATATACAACGAATACTATCTACGTACGTAACTACAAAAGAAGCATTTTTTATTTCTCTATTAATATATTTGGAATGTATTTTAAATAACTCATTACTTATGCCTAATATATATTTTAGATTCAGAGTAGTTGTAAATGAAAAATAAAAATTCTGACACAATAATTTTTGGCAAGATTCATTATTATTTAAAGAAAACAAAATTAAATATGCAAATGAAGGTTTGTAATATTTCAATGTTTTTACAAAATCTACTATATAAAAAACAAATAATATAATAATAATATAATTATTTTTTATTTAAACTTATATAGAGTAGGCGATTTTTTGATATATTGCAAGCAATTATTTACATTTATATGCTGAGTACATAGTGTGATAGTTGATAAAACAGATAATAATATACTTAAACCAAAAACTGATACAATAATTTCACATGAATACCTTTCTAACTGTCACTTCACTGATGACTAATACACTCATGAAAATAGTAAAGAGTTATGATTAGTTAAAGGTGAAGTGAATTTAGTTAATCTAGTAATATAGAATGACACATTGCTATTTGGTTATGTAATATGCTAAAACCTGAAAATTATGATTTTTATATTAAAGAAATTGTATACCATTTTGATATAACAATGAAATATCAGCTACCATGTAAAAATATTATACTAATATTACCTTTGCAGCATCTTCTCATTTTAAAAATTTTTCTTGATATTTATATAGATAATTTTAGTACTTATAGAAACGTATATCACTCATTAGGTGATGTATATTTACAATTAGAAATATACCTTTATCCTTTTAAAAGAAATTAAATAATCATTTTCTTATAAGCTTCATACCATTCAGAACAAAGTTTAATAATTTTATTAGACCAGTATTTTAAGACATAAAGTTTTTGAAAACTGATCTTGTTATGAAAACTTTAAATGGCAATGCTTGGATAACAGGTAGTATTGGATATATTACTACTGATTTACTATAAGGAAATAACCTAGCAGATATAAAACATTATAAGATTAATCATGGTTATTAAACATGTAATGTTCTAAATAATAAATATACTAATCTAAATTACAATTATATAAAAAATGCTTATTTTCAACAACAAACGAATGAACAATTTGTAAAAATTAAAAGCTAGCATTCAAAGGTGAATTAGAATAAACTGGTTATTAAATATTAAATTAATGAAATCAAGTTCTTTTAATATTCTTAAATGGAATCATCATATCTAAACATTCTAAGATGCATTTCATTCTATGGCTGAAAAGACGCGTTCACTATTAAAAGCTATATTTAACATTTTTATACAAGTGGTAAAAATTTTTTTTAAAGTATTAGAAATGTATTGAAAAACTTGCTAATTGAAGTAGAATATCAAATCCATTACGATATCATTAAAGTTTCATATTTTTAAATGTCTTGAGACTTACAATACTAATACCATTTATACTCCATCATTTTTTAAAATCTTGTCATATAAAAATAGAGATTTTGAATAACTGGCATAAAAATTCTGAAATAAGACAAAATTTGGCTATATCAAAGTTGTGTGCATGTTGGACTATAGAAACTAAAATACTAAAACTTGCATTTTTGATTATTATGATAGAAAATATTTATCAAGAATTACAAGAAATGCTTAATAAAAAATGTGAGATGCTTTTATAAGTAAGATGTGATTAAAAAGTTCAATAAAATAGGTATACTCTAGCATTTATATTAAAAATCACTTTAAAAACTTCATATCAATCAGCTATAGCAAATAGCAATTCTAATCAGTTTCAGTTATTGAATATGTTTAAACTAATAAATTTCATTATTTTTTAATAGCTATTCTCAAATAATTTTAGAAACCTTTCTAATTTGCATGTGAATATACACCTTTTACAATATGCTCAAAATTTTAGTACATTTGTAAACATAGCCATACGTATAAAAGAAATAATATATTGCACGTTTAAGAATATAGTACTATATATAAACTGTAAAGTAATTGAACTTGATCTTATTTAGCGGTATAATACACTTCAGGCATTATAACATCTCATTGATAGATGAACTGATCCTTACTTTAGTATAAAAACTAATATGCTAAGTAATCTTACTACAGATCCAAAGCTTCACATTATAGTATCAGGCTGGTATACTACAGAAGGTAATTCTATTACAAATATTAATCAATATATCAAAAATATATGTGATAATAATAAATAAGATTTGCATTTATAAGTGATAATTAATATTTGCATTTATGATGAAGTATCTTTATCTACTTTATTTTTGTAGATATAATATATCACGATAGGAACTTTATTGATATATTACTTAGCAATTGATAGAAGATTAATAAAATTAAAGATATAGTTCTATCAAAGAAATTATATGCCAATAATGATTCATTTTTTTGAGATCTTTACAGGACATATAGTAATTTTTTAGATTCAAAATCTGCTATATTAAACAAAAATTTAGAATTCTATAAGACAATTACTTATACAGTTATTAAAAGTAATCAAGATAATATTTGATTGAAAATTTATGTCAGTGATATTATAGAATTCAAAGAAGAATCAGAAGACATCACTTATGCTAAAATTAAGGCAATTTTTATCATAAAGTAAATAATGATCAGTATTACATATATTTCTGTTTAATTAGTTTAAAGTAATAAATGCTATTAATCACATTGTTAACATTATTCTTTCTGTTAAATAAGTTAACTATGATTTGAAGTCAGGGAGACAATAGCTATGACTTAAATCCAATTAACTTAGCATACTTTAATTAGAGAGTTTATTTAATTAACAAGAAATAAATTATAAGTTTTTATGTTTGCAAAATATTAAGATTGTTTATTATTTTTATTAAATGTATATTGAATACAATATTGAAAACTTCTTGGAATCTGTCCTTTTTTCAAGACACTTTTATGTCATTTATATAGGAAAATTACAATTAAGAAAAATTTATGATATTTATAATACTACTGACAATAATAACAGAGCTAACAGATATGCTAATTATGTTAAATATGATATAAATGATAATAATGATATAAATAATAGAAATATAATAAATAGTATGTGTGTCCTATTT